GTAAGTTAATAAATACACATAAAACATATTATATGGTTTGTCTGATAGTGCGGGAGACCCAGAGGGAATTCAGGCAGCACCACCCAAGTGTGCGTGTGACATGGGAAAGGGTGTGACAGATTCAGGGAACAGAAAGGAGATCAGTAGGCCAGATGTTCAGCACAGATTAGCAGAGTGAGAGGATTGAATTGAAAAGGAAGGAAAGAGCCAGACTTGCATGGCCACACAGACTGTGGGTCTGCTCTTCCTTTCCCATGTAACAGATAAGAGTTAATGCACCACAAGTTGTGGCAGAGGTTGTTGATACGTTTTGAGACTGAAATGTCCCTCATGGATTCATATGACTGAATCCTTGACTTTCAGGTGGTGGCACTGTTGTGGGAGGCTGTGTGTTCTGGCTGACTGGTGGATGTGGGTCACTTGGGCTGAACTTTAAAGCAATCAATCATATTCTCTCTGCTTCCTGATTTGACAAGATATGATAAACTACTCCCTCACACTTCCACCACCATGAACTCCTGATAGCTGTCCCACTATGGTGGGCTAAAACATCAAGCCCAGATAAATTCTTCCTCCCTCAAGTTATGACTGTCAGGTATTTTGTCTCAGTGATAGGGTATGAATATATGCTTACCAGGAGGAGGGGCTACCCTACAACAAGCATGGGAAAACTTCCAGAATGATAGAAATATCACTCGGGTCATATACCCTGTATTCAAAATGCATTGGAAAATTTTTAAAATTTTTTAAAAACCAACATGGAGCTTTGGTTGTAAAGGAAGATCAGGATGCTTGCAACTCAGAACATGAACTGAATCATAATAATAAAAAATTACAAAACTTACAAAAGTTAGAGAATGGAGTTCCTAATCCACTAATTATGAGGCTGTGCAGCTTGCCCAAGCCACACCTAGTAACTATAGCCTTTCCACTCTGACTGCCTTTCTAAGAAAGAGACTGAAACAGCCCTCTCACAAACATGGAAATGTTTCTGTATTTTAATTTGGTTTGAGTAATGATAAATATTCTCAGAAACATACCAATTTTATAGATTTTGTTTATTTTGAGTTCCCTCTCTGTGTTAATTTCTTGAAGCTGCTCTAATAAGTTATCACAAAGTTGGTAGCTTTCAACAGCAAAAACTTAAGCTTTCACAGTTCTGGAGACCAAAATTCAAAGTCAAGAAATTGACAGAGCTTGACTCCTTCCACAGGTTCAAAGGGACAATCAGTTCCTGAGCTCTTCCTGCTCTTAGTGGATGTAAATGATCCTTCACTGGGGGCTGTGTCGTTCTATGCTCTTCCTCCCGACACGTACAGTTTCCTCCTCTTCTCTCTGAGTATCTATTAAACAACATAAAAAAGGATGATTTCAACTAGAGAGGCTTTACTTCATTACATCTGCAAAGACTCTTTTCCCAATAAGGGCATATTCACAGGCTCTGAAGATCAGAACGTGGGCATATCTTTTCATGAACCATTCTACAAACCATTTAGCCTACCACTTGCTCCATATAGCATAGCCTGGAAATGGGCTAGAGCATCAACAGGCTCACCTCAGCGATTGCTCCTCTTCTGGGATTACTTTTTTGTATAACCTGATCTATCAGCAGTGTTTCAACAATGCTGACCCAGTTTCCTAGTTGTTCAAGGCAGGAGCTAAGTTCAGTCCTTGTGGTCCCAGCACAACCAAGAGCAGAAATCACACCCACAAGTGAAGCTCATTTGAGTGTGGCACCTTTCCTGTCTTGCTCCTGCTCTCATGATCAGTGTCTCTAGGAATGACTGGAGCACAGTGTTCTGCCTCAGAGATGAATGTATGACCAGATGCATGGAAGGGAGATTCATCAAACCCTTCATCGTTCTCTTGTTTGGGGCTGAGTGGCAGCATCTCCTGTCAGTTGTATGGGTTTGAGTAATTTCTCCCTAGTTGAGCATCTGATATTTAACAGTATCCTCTCTGTGCTGGTTAATATTATCAACTTGATAGGCTCTAGAATCACTTAGGATACAAACTGCAAAGCACATCTATACTGGAGTTTCTATATCAGGCTATTTGAGGTGGAAAGACCCACCTTAACTGTGGGTGGCACCATCCCACAGGATGGGATGCTAAGTTGAAAGAAAAAGAAAAAGTGAGCCAGATGCAATAGTGCACACCTTTCGTCCCAGAACTTGGGAGACAAAGGCAGATGGATCTCTACGAAATTAAGGCCAGTTTGGTCTCCATAGTGAGTTCCAGGTCAACTGGGGCTATATGGAGATCTTGTCTCAAAAAGACAAAAAGAGAAAAAAGAAAAAGAAAAAGTAATCTGAACACCAGCATTCATCTCTCTCTTGCTCACTGGCTGTGGATATAATATTACCAGCTACCTCAATCCCCCAAGCCCCTGCTACCATGCTTTCCCCACCATGATGGCCTGTACTCTAAAACTGTGACCAAAAACAAACCCTTCCTTCATTACGTTGCTTTTGTCAAGTGTTTTGTCACAGCAACAAGAAAAATAATTAATACACTCCTCAATCTATTCTCTGGCCTCTCAGTTTGACTCCTCTATTGATATAAGAAATTGGTGCTGGTAAATTTAAGAGATTTATCTATGAAGTTTATTTTGAATAATGAGACATAAGATAGTGATAGTTTGCCTGTATTTAAAAAAAAAATTGATTCTTTGAGAATGTTATGCAAAGTGTTTTGATCGTTTTCCAAGCCCCTCCCCCATCTCCTCTCAGATCCACTCCCACCTTCCACCCCTGCCTCACTTTGCCCTCAGCTATTTTTTTTAAGGTGTATTGAGTCTAATTCATGTTTTCCAAATACTCTTGACTGCCTGTACTTCTTTAATTTTCATATGTGTGTGGTGTACATATATGCATATACATGTTTGCACATATAGAGTGCATATATGTATGGGTGAGTGCATATATATGGGTGAGTGCATATATATGGGTGAGTGCATATATATGGGTGAATGCATTTGTGTGCACTTGTAGGTGGAAGTCAAGAGGTTGAGGTTGGGTGTCTTCCATGACTACTCTCTATATTCTATGTTGAGACAGGGTCTCTCACTTGAGCCCAGAGCTCACTGATTCAGCTAGTCTACCTAGTCAGCTGGTCCTGAGGATCTTGTCTCCAACTCCTGAGCACTGAGGTTGCAGGCAGACTGCCATGCCCACCTGGCATTTATGTGGGTGCTGGGGATTCTAAACTCTGGTCCTCACACTTGTGTGAAAAATGCTTTACCCACTAAACCATCTTCCCAGCCTCTGCCTGTGTTTTTAAATAAAAATAATGCAGAATATTTTGATGGAAGGAACCAATGTGGGAAAGGAAAGTGATAAATAGCATTGCTGAGTAATAGTACTACCAAGTGAGTAATAATACTACAGGATGAGCAATAGCACTACAGGGTGAGTATGAGTACTATTGAGTGAGAAACACTGCTGTAGAGTGAGTATTAGTACTGCCTTACGAGTGCTTGTACTTGCTTTATTGAATAACGGTATTATTGAGTGAGTGTTACAGGGAAGTGAGGCCCTTCATTTGTTAACAAAAACCAATGACGGGCACAATTTGCCTAGAGAAGAGTACAGATTATAAATTAAACCATTCTATGTCAAAATAAATGTAAGGACTGGGAGTGCAGCTCAGGGGTAGAGTGCTTATCTAGCGTGTGTGAAGTTCTGGGTTCAATCCCCAGTACCACGAATAAATTAAAAATATAGGCATATGTAGAGGAAAATACTTCCTGAATTTATATCCAAATCCATACACTGATTAGTTAAAGAGAAAATAGTTTTTGTCATTATCAGTAACACATAAAAAAAAATCAGGTGTGAACATAATCCCAGCACTGGGGAGGCAGAGGCAGGAGGATCCCTGGGGCTTACTGGCCATTCAGCCTAGCCAAGTGGAGAAGCCCAGATTTCAGTGAGAGTGGAAAACCAAGGTGAGGCTGGGCACGGTGGCGCAAGCCTTTAATCCCAGCACTCAGGAGGCAGAGGCAGGCGTATCTCTGTGAGATCAAGGTCAGCCTGGTCTACATAGTGAGTTTCAGGCCAGCTGGGTCTACAGGGAGACCCTGTCTAAAAGA